ATAAAGTAAATTGAAATTAATACGTTGTAGTAATTGGAATGTGGCCAAGCAAAACTTAGTGTTACTGTATTTTGATTATTTCAAAATACAGTAATACCAAATATCAGTATAATTCTTTCTTAAATTCAAATAAGATAATACACTGACTAGATACTCAGGATGGGGTTACCCACTGTTGTGTCTATATTCTTAATTCTCAGTTTTAAATTTGCTCTGTTTTTATTAGAAATTCTATCACACTACAGAAAAATCCCAGAGGGGAAAAAATTAGGGTTAGGTTAATAATTAGGCCATTTTATCTATGAACAAATTTTTATACTTTTTAGTGAAAACTCTTAAAGTCACCTTGATTATCTTTCTCTTTGAAATAAATATTTTCTCCCCCATCCCCTTTGTATTATAATGTAGATGGTAGGTATGGGCTCATATATGAATATACAAAGCTGATTGATCTTATTAAATGGCCTCAGAACTTTCTTTTAAAACAAAGGAAAGCTATGCAATGTTACCAGTAATAACCATAAATACCCCACCGCTTCAGTTTTAATTGCCTTTTTTCTCCTAGCTCTGTATGATGTATGCTTCTTTTTTTCAGGACCACATTTTAATCCCAGTGCCATCCATAATTTTTATGACAATATTGGATTTCTAGGTCCTGTGGCACCAAAACCCAAAGGTAGTGCTAGTAATTTTTTTTCTTTTCAAATTATCACTGATATCAAACTTTATCATTTAACTTATTTTAGTTCATAATATTTGTAATCTATTGTTGGTAAAAAAACTGTTGGAGGTCTGTAGCATACAAATATTAACCCATCATATTCATTTACTGTGCTTGTTCTTGTTTGTTCTTCCTTTTTCTTGCATCATCCCATTTTTTAAAGACAGGAGCTATGCATTCACACATGCTGGGACATTTGATTTCTCTTTAATTTTAAATATAAGAACTGAAAAATTATCTTGGGATGCGCATACATACTCTTTTTCCCCAAAGACTGTATTTTGTTAGTATTTATGGTGCTATGTTCTCTTTCTGATCTATCTCTGTCTTTCTTGGAAGACTGAAAATGAGAGACAGATAGATCTTAACAGAAAACTCAACCCTCTTGAAAAAGCATTGCCTTTCCCCCAATTTCTCCAAACCAGGGGTACACCAGCATTTCTTTTGCACCTCTCCCCAAAGGAAGTGGGGACCTTTCATGTTTTTTCAGAATTTGGGATATAAAATCTTAAAGCATTTGATTTGGCACTTTTAAAACAACCATTAAAAAAAACAAATCCTTTAGCATGCTGCACAGTTTCATATGACTTTGAAGCTAGAAAAACTGGGAGGCAAATACCTAAAACCAAGAAAAGAAAGAGGGAAATATGTCAAGTACTAGCAATTTGTTTTACTACAAGAATGCCCAGTACATTTCAAACAAGATCCTTTGTCAAGGGCCCTACATACTCTTTTTTTTTCCCATGGCTCTTGAACTTGCATATTTCTCACCTTGCATATATAGTAATTTATTTGCTCTTGAATTATGAGTTGGACTTTAAAATCACAGTAGTGGAAATAATATTTGAAAGTTTTAACATGTAATCACTGCTGCTTACATAGAATCTGCTTGGGTGAGATGGGTGGTTATATAAATTTGTTTATTAAATAAAAATTGGAAAGGGGGGGACATACATTTATTTTCTTCAGCTATTCATATTTGACCATTCTTTTTTCCCTCCCACCTCAGCTGATCAAAAATCCGTGGTCAAAACACCAAAGACTGTTCCAGATACTGAAGAAGATGAGGGAGCTCAGTGGAATTGTACAGCTTGTACTTTTTTAAATCACCCAGCCTTAAATCGTTGCGAACAGTGTGAGATGCCCAGGCATTTCTGAGCCAGGGAGGCTCACTTATCTTCTGTAAACTATTGCTGACTATTGTGTCATTTCCTTGGGATAAATAATCATGTATGCATAGGATTTTGCAAAATTGAACACGTGACAAGGTTTATTAGTAATGTTAAATGTCATGACACAGAGATAATACCTCAGTCTTGTGCTGCAGGCAGCTGGAACTTCACCGGCTGGAAGGTGATCTCCTGAAAGAACTTGGTTGCCAGCTGCCTGACATGTACAGTATTACTAGATGCCCGTAAGAATAACTCTCACCAGGTTCAGTGCTTTGGTGTTCCCAACAGCCTTTCTCCACAGATGTCACTACTGAATTTTGACAGGGGAAGGAATTAGATTCATAGCTTTTTTTGTTTTTGTAAAGCTTTCAGTAAAACACTACATTCACAGAAGAAATGAAAAAGGAACAAATTGAAACTATTTGCTGCCACAGAGGGCCCAGGAATTATAGAAGAATTTCAGAAATGTAGAGGTACTCTTCATCTTGTCTTCTGGAAAGCAGTTCCACATTGTGAAGACAAAAAAAAATCCATCCAATCATCTGAAGATGAAAAAAGAAAACTGCATGCTCTGTCTGTACCATAGTCTCCGTGAAATACCCCCAAGGCTTTTCCTACTGTACATAGTTCTAGAATCTTCTTTAAATGACTTTTCTTCACCTTTTATTATTTCTTGTATTTCTTAATGTATAGTGTAATAGTTGTTGTTAACTTTCTTTCCCCCTTTAAGTGATTATGCACGATTGTGATCCCTTTGTGTTAAAAAAAAAAAAAGTTTTTGATCTGAGAGAAGCCGTGCCTTAAAACAGCGTTCTTGACAATGCACAAACTAGCTCTTGTATGCCTCTTCTGTATGTTGCTCTTGTAAATGCTGGTAATCTGTGAAGACCTGCAGATGCAGCCTGTAAAAATGCAGGAAACGTCTGTGCTTCTAGTTCACTCAGGACACTGATTTTTACGGTGGGTGACACCTGGCGTAATATTCTGCATGGCAAACAAAAGCACAAGAGAAATTGAGTCCCACCCCCCAGCATACCTGCCTCTGATAGGCGTGCTTCATTTGCTGGGCATCTTTAAAACTCTCCAGAAATAAAAAAATACTGGGACTGGGTGGGAGAGAAACATATTTGAGTACACAGAAATAGCAGAAAATATGAATATGCTCATTGTTGACAGCCAGTTCTTAAAACCCGATTTGGTGGAAAATAGCAATAATTGGAATCATTTGAAAGAGAGCCTGGAAAATAGAAAACAAGCAGACTTGAAGCCATGCCAAGCATCTCTTTTTTTTTTTCATGTCCTTGTTTATGAGGAAATCTATTCAGGTGATTAGAAAACTTTGAATTGAAACCAAGATCATGTTTTTTTTATTTTTGCTCTCCTGCATAAATGATATGTCATCTCTCTGATTGAGGTGGGAAGAAGCAATGAACAGCAAAACTGTTATTATGTATCTGCTCAGAATTAAGTGCCGTTATGTTCAGTGAGACTTACTCCAAGGTAAGTGGATATACTATTTCAGCCTAAATGTAGCGAGAGACAAAGTAGACTGTCACCCACTGTAAACATTTGCCGGTGGACATCTTTAACAGCAATTTTACAAGTGGTTTATGAAAATATACAGATGCCTTTGTTTTAAAGGCTTTGCATTTTTTTAAACATGGGAATTAAATTAGTATCCCAAGTAATCAGTAAATCCAAAGTCCTTGAATTGAATGCATTATGTTATTAAAAAAAAAAGTGTTCTTTTTCAGCTTCATCTGCAGTTGTGAAGATTGATAAATGAATTTTTACCTGTTTTATTAATAAAACATAATTTGGATATCTTGAGTTGATGGTTTTGTGATTTAGGTGGGTTAACTGTCTTTGTAACAGATAAGTTATTTATAAAAATTAAAAAAATATATTGTAACATCCGTTTTGTGTCTTTTTAACTGGAGATAACATGGTTTGCTGTAGATATTCCTTAAATAATTGGTCAGTGCATGTCAGTCAATACATGATGATTCTGATTTCAAATTCAGACCCTGAAGGCTCTTTTTTAGGTCTAAAATCCAGAGCATAATTGCAAAATTAACCCTTGTTCAAATGTTACCACAGATACTTTTTAAGAAAATAATCTGTTTGGTATCTTATATTTACAGTTACTAAGATGTAACTTTAGTAAGCATTCTGGCACAATCTTTAATGCTTATTTTTATCTTTTATATATTAATATAGGTAGTTCTCAACTTACAACCATTCATTTAACAATGATTCAAAGTTGTTGAATCATCGGAAAAAGCATTTTACAACCTGTCCTTGCACTTACGATCATCATAACACTTCTGTGGTCACATGATTACAATTCATGGTCTTGGCAATCTGCTCACTTGCGACCAGTTGCAGCATCCTGCAGTTACATAATCACAATTTGTTACTTTCTCAACCAGTTTCTCACTAGCAAACTAAATTTTCTTAAATTAAAACTGCAAGGTTTGCTTGTCAACCATGTAATTCGCTTAATGACTGCAATAAAATTGGGTTTGGTCCCATGATAACCGACTTTACAACTGCACCAACTTATTGTGGAAGTTCTGGTCCCAATTGTGATGGTAAGCCAAGGGTTACTTGTATGGAAGTTATAAATGAATCACTTCCTTTGGTTAGTAAATCCTTATAAGAATCAGCACTGCCTGGGATAATGACAAATATAGAGAATTATAGAATGAAATTTCAAAATGAGCATTTTTGTTATAGGGAATATAAGAGCTCATGGACTCAGCCAATGATACTTTGCATTTTTCTATTATTTATGCAGTTGGTGTCACTTTCCAATAGTGGGTAAGTTTCTGTTAGTAATGATCAGGCTCCATTAAGTCATAAGCCAAAAACCACCTGTAAGATACAGGATCTAGAACTTGGGTGTAGGGTAGTACACCTTTTTCTAACAGCAGGGGGAAGAAATATGGCATGAAAAGAAAGGATCTACTATAATATTTTCCTCTTTGATGTACCTTGCCCCTTGACTAGCAATCTAAACACCACCCCACCAATACATTAGCATTCCCTTATATATCATAACTTGGTTTATTTGACAAAAGAGATACACTAGATGTAATTGTGTCAATTATTTTTATTTAAAAGAGCTGTCCTTCACTTTTCCACTAATAGGTCCTCATGGTAGCTTCCATACTTATTTTGAATTCAAAAATAATATATCAATATAATTTGTGCAATTCTCCCACAAGCAGACAATAGGTAAATTGGGAAGCAGTTGCAGAATAAGCCATTAACATACATTATATTCCATCCACAGCTTCAGCAATATAAGGAAAAGTTAACTGGTGCTTTCAAAAAAAAAATGTTATCAAGTAAAAAGATGTTGTGGGAGAATATAGTATCACCGTTGTTCCTAGCTGTTTATATTTGCCTCAGCACTGTGAACTAATCTTAAAAACATCATAGAAACCTGTGAAGGTTTTTTTAAAAACATTATTGAAATATATCAAAACGGAGGTTTTTGGATAACAATCCAGGTATCTCCCTGTACTAGTTCAGCTGCAATTTCTGAAAATACCATATTCAAGGATAGTCTAGTAAATAACAAACTAAGCCAGTCTGAGGGAAGTAGTATTTGTCCAGGATGAGTTTCAATTAATACACCAGCCAAAAAGTGGAGGAGGCATAGACTTGAACATATAGGCCATCTGAAGGCTTATTTTTCTCTGTTGGCTATTAAGAAAAGGAGGTATAAATGTCTGTATTCATAAGCCTAATACTTGGGAGTCCAACTTGTCATAATGACTGAAAATATATCCTTTGGTGACTGGGAGAACACTGTTGTCATTTGTACCTTTGCCTTTCTACTACAAGACTAGCATGTCAGAGCAGCTGGCAGTCCTTACTGAACTTGGCTGCTCTCTTAAGGACTCAGCAATGACAGCCCTGGATGGGAAACCACCAGGAAATCTCAGATCTGTTAGAAAAACATCCTGGAAAAAGGCAATTGAAAATAACTCATATTTTTGTTGTATTGTTGCCAAGAAAACTACACATAGGATAGTCCAGTAAATAACAAACTAAACTTACTGTACATGGTCATATCTAAATAGCCACTAGAGTTTGACTTAAGCCTAGAATACCTTTGTTAAACAGAAACCTTACCAAACAGATTGGAGAAAAAAAACCACCTTGCTCGTGGTTTGATAAAAGAATAAATTGTTGGGGAATGTTTAAATACGGTAGAAACATATGAAGCTAAAGCCATCTAAGAGGATGTTTATGGGAAGTGCATATAGGAAGGATCCAAATAAGAATATAAATTGGCTTAACGGATTGAAACTTAGGATATTTTTGAGGATGGCAAAATAGGACATAGATGTTTGAAACCAGAAAAACATAAATTTTGTGCGTGTGTGTGTGTGTGTGTGTGTTCTTACCAGTTGATTTACTGAAGTTGAATGTACCTTGTGTAAAGAAGACATGAGAAAACCTTTACCACGGTTTCCTATTAGGGAACCTACTATGCAGATTCCCATACTTCCTAGCTAATGGTATAAAATTTCTCATTATGTCTGTGTTGGATGACATTAAGGCTTGGTTTTCCTGAAAATATGGGAACCTTAGGGGTTGCTGGACATTTGCTTGCTCTTGAGAAAATGGAGTTTGAGCCAAATTCTGCTGAGACTCCACACCAGAAGGACAACTGTGCCTTGTGAGTGAGTTGGAATTTAACAAAAATAATTGGTCATAAGGTCTGGCTTGCAAATGTCCAATGTGACCCATCTCCCCATACTGGCTATATAAAAATATCTCAGCTGAAGAATCTATAGAATCCCGTTCTTCATTGGGCTGGGCCTTTGAGTTCTGTCTTGCTAAAAAGGAAGGTGCTTGTAAGGCTTGTATTGCTGATGCCTGTTTTCTACAACATCCCTGGATGTTACACATTTCTAAACATGGACAGTCCAGGCACCGGTTATGATGAGACAAAAGTGGACCCTGGCTGTACCTGAGGTAATGGCCCCTAGGAGGCTCACCTACTAAGGCTTCATATTTTACAGATCCTCCAAGTGTATTTCCAGAATAAGTCCTGGCAGTTAGAGAAGATGCTGTGAATTGTTCAGATACCGTTGCTGCATAAGCAGTTTGACCATGTTGTAATAAAGTTAATGGGACCTGATGGCTGTCCTGATACATGTTTATCCAATTGTTAGCTGAATCCACCTGGTACTCTCCTATCTGTTGTGGGATACTAGTGTGAACTACTTCTGAGCTGAATGCTGTGCTGCTCCTGTTAATAGCACTTTTATGAGTATATAGAGATGATGGATGTCCACTCTTCGTGGGGTTTGTTCCCTTCTTCTCTTCTTCAGTCTTCTGACTGGATGAGTAGGTTTTTGCTTTGACCCGGAGTTCATCAGCTACAGAGAGATAGTCCCAGTTCAGTCTTTCTGGGTGATAAAATTTGCATTTGATGCCATAGGTGCATTTTTTGCCTGTGGAAAGTAAAATGACTAGATCATTGGCTGGTATCAGTGGGCATGGAAGCAGATTGGAGCATCTTATACTTTTTAATTTTTGTAAAAATAATCTTTCGTAGACAGGTGGTCCTTGACTTACAACCATTTGTTTAGTGATCATTTGAAGTTACAGCTGGACTGGAAAAAGCCCTCTCACAGCCATCACAACATGCCTGTGGTCACATGATCAGATTTCAGGTGCTTGAAAACTGGCTTATAGTTTAGTTACCACAGTGGCAGAATTCCTGGTTCACCTGATTACCACCCGCGACCTTTCCATCTGTCTTCCAGTAAGCAAAAGCAATGGGGGAAGCTGGATTTACATAATAAATGCAGTGATTTGCTTAACAACTGTGGCCAAAAAGGTCATAAAATTGGGTGCAACTCACTTAACAACTGCCTTGTTTAACAATGGAAATTCTGGCCCCAATTGTGGGTCACACATCAAGGATTACAGCATTTTGATTTTATACAAATACTGAGATAATATTGAGAACATTTCATACAGTTTTGGGGAAGATAAATTTCTGAATGTCTGGAGAATATAATTTTGCCACTGAGGAAGCAAAACACGCCGTCTATTCCTGTTAGTGCTGTAATAGCAAGTTTCTCTTATATAAGATTTTAATTGATGATAGGCAGCACATATACTAAAATTGGAACAATACAGAGATGATAGATGAAAGAATGTATACAGAGTGGGGCAGGGATATATATTTTTGCACTGTTTTATTAATTTTCACTGTGCAAAAGGGAGTGCAATGCGCTGAAGTCTGAAATTCTACTACCATAATATTCCTTATATCCTTGCATTTGCATGAAGCACATAAAAATGCCTTGCCTAATAATTTCTATAACCAAATTCCTACCTCCATATGGTGACGTTTACTACATAGAAGAAAAAATGAAACCGGGGATAATTTTAAGATTTTCTTGAGAGGTTCACTTGGAGACTTCCTGGGAATTTCTAGAGGTGTGCATAAAATGAAAAATGTTTTTTGTTTCCTGCAGAAAACATTGTTTAGCCAAACCGTTCTGGATGGGTTATGGTTTGGTTTGGCCAAACTGAAATCTGGAACATTTGGGTTTTTCTGTGTCTGTAATGTCAGATAAGGTGGGTACTTGCTCTTTTGAAAGATGTGTGGGTTCCAGATGTAAATATCTGAATATGCAAATAATGTACAAATTATCATTAACTATTATTGAGAAAAGCCAGTGTTTTAGTCTTATTCTTTCTGTAACCACTTTCATGGTAAATCTTGCAAACAAATGGACTGAGCATTGAACAAAACTTACCATAAGGACAGAGCTGCCATTTTGATTCAGGGAAAAGAGGCTTTTTGCTTAGAAAATTGTTCAGAGAAGGTCCGTATCTGCCCAAAGGATCATCAGGTGGCATGAATCTAAAAATAAATAATAACAGAAATTACCGAATCAACATTCTAATGATTTTCTGATACATGCTGAAGTTCACAACATATCTTTATATCTTTAAATATTCAAACCAATCTCCTCATAGAAAAAAACACCTGCAAACATACATGAGAACTCTCAAACAAGTTTTGGATAGTTATATATTCCTAAAGCCATCATAAAAGTTGCTCAGTGGCTAAGATGCTAAGCTTGTCAATCAGAAAGGTTGGCAGTTCGGCGGTTCGAATCCCTAGCAACATGTAACGGAGTGAGCTCCCATTACTTCTCCTAGCTTCACCAACCTAGCAGTTTGAAAACATGTAAAAATGCAAGTAGAAAAATAGGGTCCACTTTGGTGGGAAGGTAACAGCGTTCCCTGCGTCTTTGGTGTTTAGTCATGCCGGCCACATGACCACGGAGACGTCTTCGGACAGCGCTGGCTCTTCGGCTTTGTAACAGAGATGAATACCACCCCCTAGAGTCAAGAACGACTAGCACATATGTGCGAGGGGAACCTCTATCTTTACTTAAAGCTATCATAAATTAAAATATTGGAAACAGCAAATCTGCATTAGGTAAGCCCTTTGAAACTATAGATATAGATTATTTATTAAACCTAGTTAATGACCACTATCAGAATAAATGTGAGCTAATATCTGCCTAGTTTGCTGGTTGCCCATTTTTGCATTTCTACCTCAGCAGGCAAGTTAGAAACACCTCTGAAAACCAATACAGTACTGATAATATAATACACTGATTAAAGTATTGTTTAGCATAGGGGAAAGTCAATTCAAGCTTCTATTTAATCTTTGTGTTCCCAGTGTGATTTTAAGTGAGAAGGCCAGTTTTCTTAACCTAACTCACTTTATAAGGCTGCTATGTGGGTAAAAATGAGTACAGAACACATGTACAGCAGAAAAATATGTCCCAGCTGGGTGAAAAAGGAAACAAAAATTTGACTAAATATTTATTATAGCCACAGTCTCTATCAATTTTGCAAATTGTATTAATATTGATTCAGGGTAGCAAATAAAAATCTAAAAGTTTCTTCTTTCCTCTTATTCATGCCCTGTGTTGAATCCAGCAAAATAATGTGTCTCCATAAGATTGCAATTAAAAATATTTAAAAATGTATTTTTATTTATACACATTGACTATATTATATATTTTATAAATGGCCCAAGACAACTCCTCTTCGCTCAATGTAGCCTGGTCAAGCCAAAAGGTTGGACATGTCTGTGCTAGCTGATCTCAAACAGTGGACCATTTATTTAAAGTTGCAAGCAGACTTTCCAGTTCTATCCAGTAATACCTTCTTGAGCTAATCTGTACATCTTCTGCAATCGGCTAGATATCTTAGCTACATAATAATCCCAAAATTCAGAAGAGCTTTCTCTTTAACTAGATTAATTGCCCTCCCAAAATTATTTAAGGAAGATCTGAAGGATGATCCCCCTTTAAACAGAAACTGTCCATGCAGTAGAAGAATAATTGAAATGATGGAATACAATATTATGCATTGCCCTCTTGACGTTAAGTCCTTGACAGGAATTATTTCCATACCTAAATATCCAAGTTGTTCTGATTTGTTTTAAGTTCTTATTTTTAGATCAAATTTCCTTGACCATATCCACGTATTGTTTTAAAGTTTGTACAGTACATTGTAATATTTACTCTTAATACTTTTTGGATATTTTACAGTGATTATGTTTTTCATTTTTTGTTCTAATTAATTGTGATTTTGTTCTTCATCTGCTGCTCTATGAGTGAAAAAATATTGATTGATTGATTGACATGCTCCTGCTTGCAAATTTTAAACTTTAAATCTTGCTCCTTGAAATCTGCACTTTGTAACCTTAGATCAGGGGTGTCAAACTCGATTTCATTGAGGGTCGCATCAAGGTTGTGTTTGACCTTGGAGGGCTGGAGTGGGTGTGGCCAGGGTGGGCATGGCCACCTCGATATCACTCATGGCGGGGGTGCCTGTGGCGGCCTGAGTGTTCTGCCAGTGAAAACGGGCTCCTGAGCTCTGTTTCCGGCTGCAATGGCCTCCTGCAACCCTCCTGCAGGCCAGATCTAAGAACCCCATGGGCTGGATCTGGCCCATGAACCTTGAGTTTGATACCCATGAGCTAGATCTTGATGAAACCTTGTTTGCACATATACCAGGCTCTTACTTGTCATTGACGAAAGAATACATGAGCAGTCGCTGCTCAATGAACCATTTCCACTCAGGGTTTTCATTCTGCAGATCTCGAAAGTTGTCGTTGGAAACAATGACCCCGTCTTGCTCATAGGCCAATTTAACAATGTAGCGATCATCATAGCACATCATTCTTTTGCCCTTTATTTTGCGGGATGGTGTGTAGATGAGAATTGCTTGCTTGGCCAAGCTTTCAAGGATATGTGGATCTAAAAGTAAAAACGGGGCAGGAAATGAACAAATACTACCACACACGCACACACATACAGAGAAGAGTTGCATGCAGAAGTGGAAGATGGGTTTCAAAATATCAGCCTTGCACAAGGAAACAAAAACAGCTTGCAGTGTTTTTCATTCAGAATACAGAATAATAGAGTTGGCAGGGTACCTTGCAGGTCTTCTTGTCCAACCCCCTGCTGATTGGTCAAGCTCATGTATTTATAAAACACCATTTTGGTGCCCATTTAATTTGAAATAAATCTGAACGCTTCCCATTTAATTAGAATATGAACTGTCTGGTTCATTGTGGTCTCCCAAATGATCCTGAATAGAAATTCTAGCTAACCTGGCCAATGCTGAGAGATGCTAGAAGTTCAGCAACACTTGAAGGATCACACATTCCCTGTTTAAACATTGCTTGTTATGTTTATTTTATAAACTGACTCAATAAACTATCCGTTACATGCTCAAAATTGGCTTGGAATCTAGGATAACTGAACAACTGATTCAGGTCTCACATCTGGGACCTGAGCAGCTTATACATTAAGTTGTCTGCCACTTCTTTGTACCGAAGTGCAGATATAGCTGAGGGTCATGAATATGGAAATTAAAAGGTAACTTGTCCACAAACAAGCACTTTAATGAGGTAGTAAGTGAAATACTGCCTGGTAGAACAATCTCTTGAGAAAATTATGTAAAATTGTACTATAAACAGACAAATACTAGTAGAGCTTACAATAAGGAACATTGTACTATACTTCCTCTACAATGTAATATTTATAGCATATTCTAGATACATTGTCTGATACAGGTAGTCCTCGACTGATGACTACAATTGAGTCCAAAATTTCTATTGCTAAGCAAGACAGTTGTTAAATGAAGTATGCCCCATTTTACGACCTTTCCTGCTACAGTTGTTAGGTGAATCCCTGCAGTTGTTAAGTTAGTCACATGGTTGTTACGTGAATCTGGCTTCCTCACTGACTTTGCTTGTCTGAAGGTTGCAAAATGTGATCCCATGACCCCGGGACACTGCAACTTTCATAAATACGAGTTAATTTCCAAGTGTCTGAATTTTGATCACGTGACCATGGGAAAGCTGTGACGATCATAAGTTTGAAAAACAGTCACAAGTCATTTTTTTCAGTGCTGTAACTTTGAACGGCCATTGAATGAACTGTTGTAGGTCAAGAACTGCCTATACTTTGAAGTACACTGTTATTTTGGGCTTCAAAATAAAATGTATCTTATAAATAAGAGTTGTTAAATCTGTCTCTAACTTATGAGCATAAGTTGTCAGCTAATCGACTGACGTCAGAGTCTCTGATAGTCTGAATTCTAGGTATTACTGCTACTGGTGGAAAGGAAAAAGCATACTCTTGCTAGTTTTTTGAAGCTCTGGTTATTGGTAAAATAAACAAATAACCAAGCTAGCTGTTTCTTGGACAAAAATAAAAAGAACTTAAAGGTTGTTTAAATATTTGAAAACCAGTAGTTATAGCAAAACGGATTGGGAGTGGTTCTGATTGTGTTTTCTGCCTTACGCTTTTGTACTTCCACAGAAGCAGTGTTCTGATAAATGTTTAATCTCATTGACTGCAGTACGAATAATTTAACATATAACTGGGAACTAATACTTCATATTGAAAACCTGTTGGATCTGTTCATACCTGTAACAGGGGTATCAAATCGAGACTGTCCCTTTCTCCAAGATGGAACGAAAACTTTGATGTACTGGTGACCTCTTTGTTTGAACCAGTCTACCACCAACTGAATTCCTAAGCATGAAAATACTTCTTTGTTTCCATGACTGGAAAAAAGGAAAAGCGATTATTTTTGAATGTTACCAAGTTACAGTACTTTTTAATGGCTTCTGCCGTATATCATATGCTGGATTTAAATGACTTCTTGTGTCTGGCAGCTAACATTTCTGGCAAGTGGGAATGGCTTTTTTCCATTAAAAATGGATTTGTAGAATTTCATTCTATACTGAAAACCATTTTCTAGCTCAAAATTTGTCTAGAAGTATTTAGAGAAGAGCAACCAGGATGATTAGGGGACTAGAGACTAAAACATATGAAGAACGGTTACTAAAACATATGAAGAATGGTTACAGGAACTGGGCATGGCTAGTCTAGTGAAGAGAAGGACCATTTTTTACATTTTACATTTGATTTGATTTGTCAATCGCTTACAAGATACAGGTATAAGAATAAATATAGTTTTAAATACATGAGATAGATACTTATAAGAAAAACAAACAAACAATAGGACAGGGATGGTAGGCACGATTGGTGCACTTATGCATGCCCCCTACAGGCCTCTTAGGAAATGGGTGAGGTCAATAGTAGACAGTCTAAGGTTAAAGTTTTTGGGGTTTGGGGAAGAAACCACAGAGTTTCTTCCCCAAAGAACCAGGGGAGACATGATAGCAGTCTTCCAATATTTGAGGGGCTGCCACAGAGAGGAAGGGGTCAAGCTATATTCTAAAGCACCTGTAGGCCAGACAAGGAATAATGGATGGAAACTGAACAAGGAGAGATTTAACTTGGAAATAAGGAGAAACTTTCTGACAGTGAGAACAATCAACCATTGGCATTGGAAGTTGTGGGAGCGTCATCACTTGAGACTTTCAAGAGGAGATTGGACTGCCATTTGTCAGAAATGGTGTAGGGTCTCCCACTTGAGCAGGGGGTTCGACTAGATGACTTACAAGGTTCCTTCCAACTCTGATTGTCTGTTATCTGTTAACTATTGTGTAATTTCAGTTTTGATTTTGATGGAGAGACCATCAGTTCCCGAAAAGGCAAACTATATCTGATATACTAACATATCTGAATGTTCCTGCCCATAACACCATTTTGTAGATCTATCTTTTAAAAACAAGTCAAAGGGAGAAGACTGTTATCTTTGTCTATCTCCCACATCTTTTTGTTATGAACCTTTTGGGAAGAAGGATCCAAAGTTAGATATTAGTTCACATTCTACTGATTTAGAAATCTATCTGGATGCAGGACCGGGAGAAAAATAGGAAATATATTTAGCATTTCTTTCTCTCCATGTATCTTTTAAGTTTATTTCATCTACCATTTTAAAAAAAGATTTAGGGAGAGTCTTTCTATTTTGTTTTATTGTTTTTTGTGCTGTATAGTCCAGTTTCTTGTCTACAATTCCATTAAAATCTCCCATCATAACTATATTAACATAGTCCAGTTCAATTATTTTCATATGTAATTTTTTATAGAATTCTTCTTGATTGTCATTCGGGGCATAAATTGCAATCAGGAGTGTTTTCGTATTATTGTCCATTATTTCCACCATTAATATTCTTCCGTCGTCATCAGTATAAATCAATTTTGCTGGGATGGTCTCTTTAATATATAAAACCACTCCTCTTTTCTTACATTGTGTCAAGGAAGTAAATATTTTCCCTAATTTTGGCTGTATCAACAATTGTTCATATTGTTTTTAATATGTACTTCTTGTAGGCAGATTATATCAAATTTTAATTTCTCTAATTTATGAAAGGTTTTTCCTTCTTTTAATGGCTGAGTTAAGTCCATTTATATTAATTGTAATCAATTTTTTCTTTTCCATGGTTATATTTTGTAGTTAGGTTTGACAGCTCTCGTGGATCTTGGTTCACGTTGTTCTTTGGCTTCCTCCTTTCCACCTACTGCACCTTCTTCTTTTTCAGTCGTTGTTTGGGAGTCCTCTTGGAATTCAATTAAAATGAAATTTCTTTTTCTGCCTCTTCCTCCCCTCTGAAAAAATTTGTGTAAAATGATTCATCTTTCTCAATTGAGTCAATTCTATATCTCTGTTCTTGCCATGTGAACATTAAAACTTCTGTAATCAGCCATCTATAATTCACCTCTTTTTAAAGTAGCAATTTGGTCAAGAATCGTTATTCTCTTCTCATCTCTCTCACTCTTCTGGGTACTTGTTTCAAGACCACAATCTCCTTATCTTTGTATTTCAATGTTTTCTCTCTTGCCACTTGCAATATTTGCGTTTTAATGGCTTTCTTTGTAAATCTGATGTGAACTTCTCTTGGTAGGCTATTTCTCATTGCGTATCTTGTGAAGACTCGATAGACCTCATCTATTCCATCCATCATCTTCTCTTCAGTTATTTCCAAAGCTTCAGCCAATATTTCTATCATTATCTCAGCTAGATTTTGTCCTTTTTCTTCCTCTATGTTTTGGAATCTAAGATAAAATTCTGATCTGTCCATCTCCCATCTCAGCATACCACTTTTATCTTGTTCAACCACAGTGAATCTGTTATCAGTGTCTCCAATCTTCTTGTCTCTTTGTTTATCTTCTTCTTCAATTTTTTGGAGTCTCTCATCATACTTCATCATCATTTATTGGATGTTCTCCACTTTTTCATCGGTTTTCCTTGTTCTTTGTTCAATGTTTCTATTCTCTTTTCAATATTCTCTGATCTTGTTTGTATATTTTGAATTCCTTGCATAATCATCTGCAGGGTCAATTTTTCTTGTTCTTTTTCTTGCCTTAACATTGTCTGTATTGAACGTTGTCCTCCAGATGGTGGAGAGGAAGTAGAAGTTGAAGAACCAGGAGCTGTTAATTTCCTACTCATTTTGAGCAATTCAAAATCTTCAGGTTCTTCTAAACCTTAATCCAATTGTGGAATAACCAATTGCAGTTCCAAATAAAAATAGTAGGAAAAAAGAAGCCAAATAGTAATAATAATAAAAAAGAAGAAAAAATTTCTTCAGGTTCTTCAGGTTCTTGTAACCTTAATCCAATCGGTTAGTTAGATGGCAGTAAAAATTCAAAAATGAAGAAAAAGACCATAAACACACCATAAACACACACAAAAAAGAGAAAGTTGTAAAATCCTAAAAAAGGCGAAAAAGTGAAGAAAAAGGCTAAAAAAAGAAAAGAAAAATTCTTCAGGTTCTTCAACAGGTCTCAATTCTTCAGGTCTCAGATATAAAAGGATGCATAAAAATAAACCAAACAAAAACCAATATGGAAGGTGGATGGAAAGACAAACATACCAGGAAGGGAGAGAGAGAAAAAAGGCTACTCCCTTAAAAAGAAAAGGAAGGGAAACATTAATACTAAAGCTTTTCCTTTAAAATAAAAAGCAGGCATAGAAATTTAACTTCCAAAGACAAGGAAAAAAAAAAAAAACAAGTTCCAAAGAGCTAAAAATCCAAATAGTTATTACAAAAAAAAAGTAAACTGATGAGGAGGGGTAGCACAGCTTAGAAAGAATAAAAAGAGCACACTGCACTTTAATTATCCAAGGCTCTTGTTATAACTCTCTTCTCCGGAGACTTATCACCTTTTCTCTTCCTAAACTTCAACACCAGACTCCAGCTGTTGATAGAAACCCAGAAGAGCACCTGCAATAATACTCTCCCATGCTCTTCCCCTCTATCTTATCAAACAGGCAATGTCCTTGAAAAAAAGTCTCAGTTCTTTCTCAGCTTTGTCTGGTCAAAAAAGAAATAGAATATTTCCAAGCCTCTAGTTGGCAGTGTTACAAAGTTTCTTTAGCTTTCACTTTCCCCCTCCTTTTCCAAGCAAAATATAATAAGAATTTTTTTTTTAAAAAAAGAAAAAGATATTTAAAAAAAAATAACTAAAAGGGAGTCTCTGGCTTAGAATATTATAAAGTCAAAAAGGAGAAAAGAATAGATAAAAAGAAGAGAACAAAAACCAGTCCAGTTTCAAAATATAAGATCATGTGTAGAAAATCCAGCAATGAGAAAAAAAATAAAAGTATTACTTTGACATTCCTGTTTAAAATCGCCGCTTAATCACTTCTGTCAAAACTTTTACAGATTCTTTCTTTCCCTTAGGGTGTCCTTTCAAGTCTTAAAATAAAGAAAAAGTTCTCACCAAACTGGCACACTTTCTCTTTCCATTCTCTTTCGTTTCGGAGCTGTCCCAACTTCAGCAGCTTTAATGGCTGCCTCTTTGCCGCTGGCAAAAAGAGCTTCTCCTGGATCTACCAGGGACTTTGTGATATCCCTGGGATCGACAGGATGCGCTCTTTACATTCACCATCTCTTCGGGATGGTTTAGATCCACTTGGACCGTCCAGGAGCAAAGATATCGGCAGCGATCTCAGACCTCCGGGATCGCATGCCATATCGTCGCGACACCAGCTCCGCCCTCCCCAGAAAAATAGGAAATATATTAATCTAGCAATGCAATTATAATAAGATGTCTAATAGTCAGGACTAGATCTGATTTGAAAAATTCCAGTGAAGTTCTTAGATGTCTGGCAGACTTCTATAAAAAGAGTGGAGTGTTTTAACAGCCCAGGTATCATCTTATTAAAAAGGTGACACCTGGGTGGTTTGAATTTTGCCTAAAATCAAACTGTTAGCAGTAAAATTTCTTTCAGATTGAAGATGTTCACTTGAAATGTAACAGGGAATAGAACAGAACAGAATAAATGAGTTGGAAGGGACCTTGGAGGTCTTCTAGTCCAACCCCCTGCTTAGGCGGAAACCCAACACCACTTCAGACAGACAGTTGTCCAATCTCTTCTTGAAAACTTCCAGTGTTAGAGCACCCACAACTTCTGGAGGCAAGTTGTTCCACTGATTAATTGTTCTGTCAGGACATTTCTCCTTCATTCTAGGTTGCTTCTCTCCTTGAATACATAAGATAATTGTGTATTCTGCATGAAGTAGAGTTTCTACCCAGTTTTTAATTAATTAGATTCTATCAGAGACATGATTATTTCAAAATGCTGGATTTTGAATGCTATGCTATGGCAACACCTAGAATCCCATAAGAACAGAATCTCATACAATTG